GTGGGGCCCGAGCCACTGCGGGGCGACAGCCCAGCCGACTGGCTAGCAGAGCCGCTGGAAGCGGACGTGGGCGCTGTGGTGGTGGGCTTCGACCCGCACTTCAGCTACATGAAGCTCACCAAGGCTGTGCGCTATCTGCAGCAGCCGGGCTGCCTGCTTGTGGGCACCAACATGGACAACCGGCTACCCCTGGAGAAAGGCCACTTCATCGCGGGTCCGTGCGCGCAGGGGCGGGAGGCCAGAGGGCGGGCTTCGGCCCCTCTCCGCCCTCTGATCCCTTGGCCCCTTCCCTCCTTCTGCCCCGCAGGTACCGGCTGTCTGGTTCGAGCGGTGGAGATGGCCGCCCAACGTCAGGCCGACATCATTGGGAAGCCCAGCCGCTTCATCTTCGACTGCGTGTCCCAGGAGTACGGCATCAACCCGGAACGCACCGTCATGGTGGGGGACCGTCTGGACACAGACATCCTCCTGGGCGTCACCTGTGGCTTGAAGACCATCCTGACCCTGACTGGAGTCTCTACACTCGAGGATGTGAAGAGTAATCAGGAAAGTGACTGCATGTCTAAGAAGAAAATGGTCCCTGACTTCTATGTTGACAGCATAGCCGACCTCTTGCCCGCCCTTCAAGGTTAAAGATTTAGTGTCTTTAATCTCCAGAATAAAAAAAGAAATTCAAAATCACTTAACCAAATCAATAGGTGGAGCTTAGGCATCCACTCATGTAGGTGACCACAGAGTGTAATTGGAGTTAAGCAAAAGTGTTTTGTTAGTTTTGTAAGTAAATGTTCTGGGGGCAATGTTGTTTACAGATGCTTATATTTTAAGATGCACTTTTAATCTTTGAGGGCATTGTGGGGATAGGCCTGGGCCTTGGATGTGTTGGCAAGGGCAGGCATAGCATCTGTCCAGGATTCAGGTAACTTCAGGCCCTGCTGATAATAATGAGGCAGGTCTAGGAGTGTGTCATGTATTTGACAGAAAATTTTATTCAGGGATTAAGCCCCCTTGAAGGGCAGAGGGGCAATGGGGCTGATTATTGTGACTGTTGTGAAACATTTGTACAGAACATACCAGGCTTCTAACCCCCACCCTGCATGGTCATGCAGCAGAGGAGCAGCTGCTGTGTCCCAGCTCCTCACCTGCAAGGCGGGGATGGAGGAAGGGGCTACTCCCAAGTTGTGTCACCCCGTGTTTGAGGTGTGGGGTGTTGCCCTTACCACCCTCCACCCTCCCCTGCTTCCTTGAAAACCACTTTAATGTCACAATTGTCTGTTCCATTTCAATGCTCAGGGCTGCGGCTCCTCATATACAGCTGCCCAGTTCTGTAAAATCAGCCCAGCTAAACCTCGGCTATATCAAGTGTGCATTTAAACCCAGGTGACTCAGACTGAGTGCATTGTCAGCTGAGGGGCCAAGTGGGCATGGATGCCTTTGCTGCAGTCTGGGCTGCTATACAGGGAGCTCAGAGCAGCATTGGTACCAAAAATAATAATTTTTTTCAACTTGTGAACAACTTTGTCAAGTGGTAAATTGAATCTTTAAATGTATAATAGCTATGTTCTGTCTCATAGAGAAAATCCCACCGAAGGCTGCATGCCCTGCAAGCAGCAGCACAGCTAAAGGCATGTGTTACTCAAGGACTGCCTGTCATCTGAGGCTCCCTCTTGGTGGGGAAGGAGAGAGGTCCCTAAGAATAGGAATTTCTTTTACAAAGCATCCAGTCTTTTCTTATCCTCCTGTCTCCTGGGTTTGGGTGGGGGTTAGATATCAGTAGCCCATGAGACCACCTCTCTTGGCCCTGGACTCCCTTGTTGATGGCCAGTGGGAGGATTGGCAGAGCCCACCAGCCAGCCAGGGGTTCTTGACAGGGGCTCTGGCCTTTTCTGTCTGTTCTCTGGGTTTGCTGACCTTTAGCAGCCTGCTGAGTAGACTCAGCAGCATTTGCAGGGCAGAGCTGGGAAGCTGTTCCTTTCTGCTGACTCCTTCCTGGTGCCTTGCCCTGCACCCAGTGGCTTCTCTCCCAGCCTTGTGGTCATGGTACTCCTTAATCTGTTCACCAAGTTCTCAGCAATAAAGGGTATTCCAGCCCTGCAGCTGCTCCTGGCCAAGGTGGTTGGGCTGGGGCCATGCCTGTGAGGTTGGTGGTGCTGACATTTGCTCTGCAAGATTGGCTCAAGGTGGGTCTGGATATCAAGCAGGCCTGTCAGGGCGTTGTCACCCACACCAGGAGGAGCACGTGGCAGGTGCAGCAGCCAGCAATGCCTCCCTCTTCTGGGAGCCTGTGTGCACCTCATCTCTGGCCCCTTGCACTGTGTGAACCCAAATGCACATTAAACTCTCAAACCCATGCTGACTGGGTCTTCCTTCCTTTCATGGGTGTAGCAACACCAAGGTGGCCGTTGGCCACTATCTAACTGCAGGTGGGGGCAGGATGGGAGGCCTGAAAGGAAAAGGCCAGTCTGGGATTCCAATTCCAGAGCCTTCCAGAGCTGGAACATTGAGTACTGCAGCTTCACCCCATTTCAGGCCTGTTATAGAGTAGGTTCTGAAGATCAGGAAAAGCAGGGTACAAAACCAGAGCAGGATAGGGTCAAAGGGTGAAACTGGAAAAAGCACACACAATGGAGTTGCCAAGCATCAGATGGCTGAAGAGAGACCAGGACTAGGGCAGTGAGCAAAACACAGTTAGAAATAAGCCACCCTGGGGCACACACCCAACCTAACCATCCTTGGCAGGTGGGAAACTCCAGGAGGCTGCCAGCTGGTGACCCAGCCTGGAACTCTCCCGTCCCAGTCACGTACTCTAAAGGATGCCCAAAGCCCTGTGTGATATTGGAGGGGGGTGGGAAGCTGCTGATGGGCACCAGGAGGGGAAGGAAGCAGTGCCTATCTGTATACTAGTGACAATGAATAGGCAACAGTCTGTATTTGTTGAACAGTTTGTATTTAATGATGGCTCCCTGGGTGCCATGGACCATGCCCACCTCTGGGAGTCTGCAGGTAACTGGACTGGAAACAGACTCTAAGATACATCAAATCTGTTCCAACCAGACAGAATCATTTGGCTGGGCCTGGGCTGCCTGCAATGAATCAGCTGGACTAGATTCCCACTGAAGCCTGCAGACCTCATAATGTTCTGTTGGTACAAGATAGGTATCAAGAGCCAGGCCTGATGACTGGCATCCTCAGTGGGAGAGGGGGCTGTCCTAGCTCTGACCTGGACATCAGATACTGAGCTGGGGAGGAGGCAGTTGTTTGGCTCATCAGAGTCATCCTGAGGTTTTCCGGGCCAACTCCTCCAAGGGGCTGCAAACAATCAGTGCATTGTCGGCAGGGGCTGCAGCATGGAGCAAGGAAGCAGCCACACGGAGAGCCCCAGGCCTGGGCCTGCAGAGGTGAGTACCTCTATCATTCTTGGGACAAAAACCTGGGGATGTCCAGGGCAGGGGACAGGAGTACCACCACCTACCCCACCTTATCCCCTCTTTTCCCTAAGCAAACCTGCTCCCTGGTCTCTAACTCAATAGCCTCACTGACTGCAGTATGCCCCCAGGTGAAGACCAAGCCCTGCCACTGGGGTTGGAGAGCTGCAAGCCTGCTGTTACTGCTGCTGGCACTGGCTACTGCAGGGGCTGTGGCCGGAGGGCTTCTTGGGTTTGCTCATAGCCCTTCCAAGGTGAGCCCCACCTGAGGCCCAGGGACATGGGCAGTGGGAAGGGGTCAGGGAGGTTGGTCTTCCAGTGGAGCCAGGACCCAAAGTAGGCCCTAATACTGGCCTTAGAGCAGAGTACCAGAGGGTGGAGAGGCCCATTCACGATGTTGAAATGCTGCAACCCAGGGATAGGGGCCTATGGGGCTGCTCAGCCTGCCCAGCTGAACTCCCACTTCCCATTCTCAGCCATTGCTGCAGATGCTCCGGCTGACCTTCCCAAGCCCCCAAGTCCCCTGGTCCAATCAAACCACCATCGTGGACGTGGCCCAGAATATGGCAACCATTATAGTGACTCCACCTCAGAGCAACCGCAGCTGGGCAGTGCTGTTCGACGGGCAGAGCGTGAGTGGGTGGGGAGGGAATCAATCCACAGGTGTTGGGGTGGCCCTGCCTCACCCACCTGCCTCCCCAGGGCTGCATCTGTTACCGTCCTGCAGAGCACCAGGCCTGCTTTCTCCGCCTGATGGAGGCCCGAGATCGGGAAACCCTGCAGCTGCTGATGAACACCTCCAGGGTGAGCAGAGCATGGTTCCACCACCAGGCCAGGGGCCAGACAAAGGGTCCTGTGTGCGGCCCAGCTGGGGCTCTGGTTTCAGGGAAACAGAAAGCTCTATCTTCCCTTAGCTGAGGCTGCTGACAAAAGTAGAAGGTGGGGCTGGCAGGTGGGTGTGGGATGTGAGTACCTGCCCAGCCAGGAGGAGGGAAACCTCCATGCCATAGCCCACCAAAGCCTTTCTGCAGGCCCAAGGGTCCCTCAGCCAAGGTCATGACACCCACCATGCCCAGGAGCTGCTGGCAGTACTTGGGAGACACACTGTGGATCCTGCCCAGGTGGGGGCTTCAGTGCAGCACCTTTGTGCAAAGACCCCCATCTACTGGGCCCGTCAAGCTGAGGGTGAGTTGGGGCAGGATGTGTGGAAGGGCTGTGTGGCTCCTGCAGAACAATCTACAGAACTACGTAGGAGTGCTTTGGAAATTCATGAGTCTCCCTCCCACCCAGGGCCCCAGAGGCAGCGGCTGATCTATCTCTGCATTGACATCTGCTTCCCAAGCAACATCTGTGTGTCTGTCTGCTTTTATTACCTCCCAGACTAAGCCCTCTGCCTGGCCCAGCCTGGCCACTGCCCCATGGACTACCCATGGTCCCACAGGCTAGTTAAGTTGGCTGTGTCAACAGCACCTGGAGGGCAGCTGCTGACAGGGACTAATAAACAATTCTACCTGGCCATGGTGATGGTCTCTGGGTCCTTGGGCCCTGAACAGGGGCAGAAAGGAGAAGGAGAGGGAAGAGGAACATGACTTGGCAGGTGGGCACCAGCTTGGGTCCTTTCAGAAACTCTAAACGCCATAAGTCCCACATCCCGGAAGGGAGTGCAGGCTCTCCAAGCCCAGGGATGTACGTCCTGAGTCAGTGGGCAATTGGGCAGGCCTGGCAAGAGGGAGGGGTAGCCCAGTCAGTCCAGCTAGCATGGTGGGCAAAGGCTAGTCTCAAGAGTTTCACTATGACCTGAGTAGTATACAGGTCCAACAAGCTACAGCCACTGCACCAGGCAGTCCCAGCTGCCCAGTTGCTGCCTGTGATCCTGAGGGGCAAGGGCTAGCCAAGTACACTGTCATTGAACGCCAAACAGACGACAGCTTTCTGGTGGCCACCATACTCTCTCTTAATCTCTCCAGTCTCCACACACCAGAGCCGGGCCAGGTTGTCAGAGGAAGCTGCAAGGAGGGATTAGGCAAAAGCTCAGAGCCAGGACAGCTTAAGGCAGAAGAGCAGCAGCAGCTGTCATGAGCCACTCTGGAGGCCAAAGCAGGAAGGCAAGCCTCACCTGTAACAATGTACTGAGAGTCCCCTGAGAAGGCACAGCCCCACATCCAACCTCGAGATGACTCCCCAGGATTGCTGCTCTTGATGCTGAGCTCTGTCATCAGGGAGAAGTTGGATGTCCTCCAAATCTTGCATGTCTGGTCAGCTGAGCAGGTGGCAAGGAGCCTAGGATGGGTTCAGAATATGGGGTGTCATACAATAGTCATCCCCACCTGAACCCCCTACCATGCATTAGGCCAGATCCATCATTCGCCCAGTCGCAGGCAGATCCCCTCCTGGGTTACCAGGTCCTACACGCACGTGGAATCAGGGCTGAAGCGGCACTGCAGGGCATAGCGTGTATGAGCTGGTATCTTGGTCTTGGGGATGAGCTGGGTCACTTCATCACCAATGCCCCCTGTCAGATTCCAGACATAACAGTTTCCCTATAGGGTAAGAAGGAAGTCACTTGAAACCCTGAGTCTCAGAGAACGCTCTGAGGGCTAGACCTGAACCCAAGATCCACCAACACTAGGGATCAACATACTCAAGAGTCCTGGGCCAGGGCGTGCAGGCTGGCACTTTGGGTCCTTCCTATACGAGGCCCCTGGGAAGCCTGACCTCAAACAAGGGCCATGTCCAGCCAGCCAAGTGTAGGAGGCTATGCTGGCCAAGGACTCACATACACCTTGGCTGCTGGCCAATGGAGCTATGCAGAAGGAAAGGCGAGGAAAGAACTCAGAGTGCCTCAGGCCAAGGCTGTGAGGAGGGAGGACTGGGGCATGGACAAGTGAGGCATTGGAATCTAAGTGAAGTGAAGGGAGAAAAATGTAATTGGAGAGCAAGAACTGAACCTCAGCATTCCACTGGCTTTGGGCAGGAGTAGGGGCTTCTTGGGATCTAGCTGAGGGAGATGGATCAAGGGACCAAGGGAAGTCAGAGAAGAGGAAGGGAAGCCACAGGGAAGCTAACAGCATTAGGATACTCAGGCCAGGAGGTGACAGGGAGAAAAGAATAAAATGGTCAGCCTTGAGAGATTCTAGAGACTGAGGAACCTGGCCTGAGAGGGCTACGGCAGGCAATGAGGGGAACATTAAAAATGGTAACCAAGTTTATGGCTTTGGGGGATGGATGGGTGTTAGAAACTGGGGAAGGGGCCTAAGGAACACCAGGGAATGAATCCATCTGCAGGGAATATGTGGCTGGGTACTGAGCTGCCCCTGCCTCTGCATTCCCCTCCAGGACTCACAGTGCTATTGACTGCTGCCATGTAGCTAGCATCAGGGTCAATGTGGGCAGATGTGATGGAGACCTCAGGTTCAGGGATCAGCTGCTCATTGTGATCTGTTTTCAGATCCCAGATGTGGATAGCACCGCTCTGGTCACCCACGATGAGCTCTGCCTGGGGGTGCAGGGGAGGTGAGGTGTGGCAGGACCATTACTGTGCCCAGTCCCATGAGTAATCACCCCTTACCTGGTTGGGGTGCAGGCACACACAGTTAATGGGTGCATTCACCTGGAAGATCCGCTGACACTGCAGGTTCCGAGACCTGTGGGGATGAGGTTACACACTGTCTCTGGTGGATGCTGTTGGTACCCCACCAGATGCCCTCTCGTGTCACCCTGCTGATGGGAACTACCTTATAGGGAACACTTGTGAGGTTCAGTCCTTCACTCCAGGAAGTAGCCTGACACCAGTGACTGACAAGGGAAATGAAAGCCTGTCCCCTTGCCTCAAGGCAGAGCTAGTTCTTGGATGCAATTCCCTTCAACCTGCTTTTCTCCTTCCCTCCATAAACCACCCACACAAACCCCTCTGGATTAGCCTCTTCTTGGAGAGAATCTACCCAGAGATGGTCCCTTGGCCTGCCCCCCTCACCCTTGGATAGTGGGCCCCTCCTGCCCAACATCCGACACCTGAGATCCCAGATTCGGGCTGTGCAGTCCTCCCCGCCTGTGTACATCCAGCGGCCGTCCTCATGAAAGCCCACAGATGCTATGTTCTTATTTACTCCGTCATAGCTGATGATGGGATTGGGGTTATTGGAGTTGAGATCATACATGCGGATGTGCTGGTAACCTAGGGACACAGGCTGAACTGAAGAACGGTTATGCCCAGGTTGACCTGCTAGAGGTCAGGGATCAGAGGTCAAGAGTCACAGTTACCTGCAGCAGCAATCATGCTGCGATCTGGGGTGATCTCCAATGCATTCACCTGCTGTGTGTGTTAAGGAGGATGATGGGAAGGGAACCCTGAGACTAGGGGTCCTCCAAGGCCTCCACCACCTGGCTTGGGCTGCTGCCTACTTCCCACCCCAAGCCATCAACCCCACCTGGTTATCCAGCCCAGCACCATCCCGCCCACCACCCAGGTGGAGGATACAGAGTCCTGGTGCTGCACAGTACGAGTGCAGATTCCACTGTGGGCCTGCCAGAACCGCACAGTGTGGTCATAGCCCGCGGTAGCCAAAATGACCGGGTCACTGCCCACTGTGCCTGGGGATGTGTTCATGGTGCAGCTGCTGGGAAGAATATAGCCTGTACAGGGCCAAAGAGTTGATGGGCAAGGAGCAAAGTTCAGAGCATCTGGAGGGGAGAAAAATAGTATTTAGGGGATGCCCTCTGCGTCCACACAGAGCTCAGAGATATGTATTAATCTGACTTTAAAGACCGGGAAACTGGCTCATACAGGTTCTGGGACGCGCACAGCAGGCGAGAGACCATTGGGGACGCCAAGCAGTCTGCGGTCGGCAGGGGGCAGTCACGCGGGGCACCTCTGCCGCAGGGGCGGGCCGCGCACGCGCAGGTGGCGGGAGTCTGAGAAACCCCAGCGCTACGGCTGCGCATGCGTAGCTGGCCGATGGCTAGACCTGATGGGAGGCGTTGGCCGTCTGGACCCTCGAGATCCCCTAGACTCCGCCGACTGTCTTGCCTTCCTTCTGCTGGCCATCTTCCCCCGACCGCGCCCTCCTAGCCACCCATAAGCCGATTCCCGGCCCTCGTCCCACGGCCTCCGTACCTTACACGCACTCCGCATTCTACCGTAGTCCAGGCCGGTGAGGGGAGCAGGAGCAAGTCGATAGAGGCCGGGGAGGAGCGTAGAGATATCGATGAATCTTCAGGGCGAGACCATGGGCTCGGTAGGGGGAGAGGACGAGACCAAAGTACTGGGGCGGAGACTCCAAGAAAACCTAGGGGCGGAGCAGATGCTAGTTGTGGCTCGGACCTCAGGCTCACTCGGCACCCAGCCCCCCCCATTTTCAGGCTTGGGCCCCAGGCAGTGTCGCGCCATCCCCTTGTCCTCCCCGACCCACTGCTCTACCTTGCCAGGCTGAGATTGCCAGGCAAATTACAGAACTTGAATTTCAGACAAGCAACAAATAACTTTTTATTGTAAATATATCCCAAATACTGAGTGGGATACAGTTATACCAAAAACTTACTTGCTTATACAAACTCAAATGTGACTCGTTATTCTGTAGTTTAATTTGCTAGATCTGGCAGCCCTAGTACAGGATCTTTCAAACCTATCCAGCCCCATTCTGAGTCTTGGTGCACCTAGCTCAGCCCAGGGATCCCTTTACAATTGTAGACCCTCATACTTGCTTTTCCATTCCAGCCTTCTGAACCCAAGCACGTGGCCTCAGCCCTTGAAACAGGCTCCCTAGGGTTTCTTACCACCACACTTGTGGACTTGGCTGCAACCCCCTTTTCCTGTGCCCACAGAGCAGGTAGATCTGGCCTCTTGACTGATACCAAGTCCCTGACACATCCACCCAGACTCTGGGTCCCAGGAACCCTCCTTTCTAATACCATGCCCACCTCTACTTTCTAGCCTCTAGTCTTTTAAGAAAACCCACATCCTCTCCTTATATTTGCTATTCTCCCTTTCAAAGAACTGTTCTCACCTCTTGCCAGCTCCACTTCCCTGCCCCCGCTCATTCCCCAACTTTACCTCCAGCTCGCCAATGAAAATTCTTCAAGGTCAGCAGCCATTACACTTTGCCAAGTCCAATGGATACTTTTTCTCCCACTTTCTGACACATCTGTATAGTGGTTTACAGCATCGCCTGAAAATCTTCCATTTCCTTGCTTAGTGTCCTGGCACAAGATCTTTCTCTGCCTTCCTGCAGAGACTAATACCCTCCAGAAATCTCTCTGCAACACAAAATTTCTGGGGGCTCACAGCCACCAGCTCCATGGCTTCCAATGCCATCCTTTCTTTGGGGGTCTTTTCATCCTGTCTCCAGTCCTAGCAGCTTCTGGAGCCTCAGCCCTTGAAACACATTAAGCTCTCTGTTAAACGTGGCCCCTTGCCAGGTGCAGTTGCACACATACAATCCCAGTGACTCAGGAGGCTGAGGCAGAGAGATTGCAAATTCAAGGCCAGCCTGGGCAGCCCTGACTCAAAATAAGAATGGCTGGAGATGTGGCTCAGTGGCAAAAGTGCCCCTGGGTTCAATCCCCAGTACCAATGAATAAAAAAAAAAAAAAAAAAAAAAAAAAAAACCACAGCTCCTCATAAGCCACATAGTCACCTTCCATGGCCAAGGCAATTCCTTGCTGTCTGCCCTTCCATGAACAGTGCCCATTTGTGTTACAGCTGGGTGCGATCTGGACACATCACTCTCCCTCTCTTCCCTTCAACCACTGTTGTTTTGTTTTGTTTTGTTTTGTTTTTCCCCCAGTATAGGAGATTGAACCCAGGGCCTTGTTAAAGCTAACCAAGTGCTCTACTACTGAGTGACATCCCAGCCCTTTGTTTTATTTTATTTTGAGACAGGGTCTCACTAAGTGACCCAGGCTGGCCTTGAACTTGCAGTCTTCCTGCCTCAGCCTCACAAGTAGCTGGGATTACAGGCATGTGCCACCATGCCCCATTCAGCTCCTGGTTTCACCTCCTACTGATCTCAGTCCTCTTCTGATGCTCTGCTTTGCCCCCACGCCCCTGCATAACAGCTTCCTCAGTTCACACACCCACATTTTTAAAAATTCTTTTAGTTGTAGATAGACACAATATTTATTTTATTTGCTTATTTTCATGTGGTGCCGAGGATCTAACCCAATGCCTCACATGTGCTAGGCAAGAGCTCTACTACTGAGCTATACCATCAGCCCCTACTTTTTTTTTTTTTTTGTACCAGGGATTAAACCCAGAGATACTTAGCACTAAGCCACATCCCCAGCCTTTTTCATTTTTTTTTTTTTTATTTTGAGACATGGTCTTGCTAAGTTGCTTAGGGCATCACTAAGTTGCTGAGGCTGGCTTTGAACTTACAGGTATGGGCCACAGCCACAGTGCCCGGCCATTCAACCACTCTGCATTGTAGAGTGGTCTTTTACAAACCAGTCTGGCCTTACCACTCCACAGAGCTTTCAGGGGTCCCTGGTACCCTGCAGGCTCTTGGACCTGGCTCCTGCCTACCCTGTAGCTTCCTGGTCTCTCCTCCCAATAGGTCACAAAACAACAGGCACTCACTTGCATCCTGTGCCTGCACCTAGGATGTTCTTCCCTCTAAACCTTTACCCGCCAATTCTTCAGCTTTGGCACCTTTACCTGTACTTTGAGGGTTTGTTGTATGTAGGACTTTGTGCTGGGTATTTCTGTTTTAATTGGTGTGAAATTCACATAGCAAAAATTAATCATTTCAGCTGGGCGCAATGGACCCGCCTGTAAGCCCAGCGACTTGAGATAGGAGGATCACGAGTTCAAAGCCAGCCTCAGCAAAAGCAAGGTGCTAAGCAACTCAGTGAGACCCTGTCTCTAAATAAAATAGAAAATAGGGCTGAGTGACCCTGAGTTCAATCCCTGTACCAAAAAAGAAATTAACCATTTAAAGTGAACAATTCAGGGGCTGGGTTTGTGGCTCAGTGGTAGAGCACTTGCCTCAAGTATGAGGCACTGGGTTTGATTCTCAGCACCACGTATTAATAAATGAATAATCAACAACCATCAACACCCATCAACAACCAAAGAAATATTTAAAAATAAATAAATAAATATAGTAAACAGTTTAGTCAGGCACAGTGACGTGTGCCTGCCATCTAGCTACTCAGAAGGCTGAGGCTGGAGGAGTTTGAGACCAGCCTGGGCAGCAGAGCAAGACTCGGGGGCTGGGGCTGGGGCTGGGGCTCAGCAGTAGTGCACTTGTCTGGCATGTGTGAGGCAATGGATTCAATTCTCAGCACCATATATAAATATATAAAATAAAAGTCTATCAATAACTAAAAATATATTCTGTTTTTTAAGAGAGAGAGAGAGAGAGAGAGAGAGAGAGAATTTTAATATTTATTTTTTAGTTTTCGGCGGACACAACATCTTTGTTTGTATGTGGTGCTGAGGATCGAACCCCGGGCCGCACACATGCCAGGCGAGTGCGCTACCACTTGAGCCACATCCCCAGCTCCCTAAAAAAATATTCTTAAAAAAAAGCGGAGAGAAGGGCTGAGGCTGGAGCTCAGCTCACCTAACCCGGGCTCAGCTCTGGGTTCGATCCTCAGCACCACATAAAAATAAATAAATAAAATAAAGGTATTTTGTCCAACTACAACTAAAAAAAAAGAAGAAGAATTTTTTAAAAACGGAGAGAGCAGGGTTGGGGCTATGGCTCAACGGTAGAGAGCTCGTCTAGCACGTTCGAGGCCCTGGGTTCGATCCTCAGCACCACATAAAAATAAAATAAAGATATTGTGTCAACTACAACTAAAAAATATTTAAAAAAAAAAAAACGGAGCGAGCAAGGCACAGTGGCATATGCCTGTAATCCCAGTGGCTCAGGAGACTGAGACAGGAGGATTGTGAGTTCAAAGCCAGCCTCAGCAACAGTGAGGTGCTAAGCAACTCAGTGAGACCCTGTCTCTATGTAAAATACAAAATAGGGCTGGGGATGTGGCTCAGTGGCCGAGTGCCCCTGAGTTCAATCCCTGGTACCCCTCCCCAAAAATCTGAGAGGGTGTCAAAGTTTTAAATAAATAAATAAAGCAAGACTATTCAGTGATTTAGTCTGCTAACAGCATTGTGCAACCACTACTCCCATCATCCCCAAAGGAGAACCACACCTACCAAGCACCCCAAACCCAGCCCCTGGCAATCCCAATCCACTTTCTTTCTCTCTGAATTTGTCTATTCTACACATTTCACATCAATGGAATCATGCAACTGTGGCCTTTCACAGCTGGTTTCTCTCACTCAGCACAGTTTTCAAGGTTCATTCGTGTTGTATATTAGGGCTTCGTTCCTTTCTGTGGCTGAATAATATTCCATTGTGTGGATAGGCCACAGTTTATTTATGTGGACATGTGGGGTATTTCCAAGAGTGTCATTGCTGGGTCATATTTTGACTCTATTCAACTTTTTGAAGAACCACCAAAACTGTGATGAGTCTTTTATTTTTTTCCTTTGCGGTGTGTGTGTGTGCACGCGCGCGTGCATGTGCACGCACGCACATGTGTATGGTGCTGGGGATGGAATGTGGGGTGCTCTACCATGGAGCTACATCCTCACCCCTTTTCAATTTTTATTTTGAGATTGACTTGTTAAATTGCTGAGGCTGGCCTTGAACTTGCAATCCTCCTGCTTTAGACTCCTGAGTTGCTGAGATTACAGGAGTGGGTCACCTTACCAGCTCATGAAAAGTCTTTTAAAAGCACTAAGTATCAGGTCCTCATAATGACTCTCCAGAGGAGGATGCACTCCCATTTGGAGAAAGAGAACTGGGAGTCAGAGATATAGAATTGCAGTTGAAAGCATATAGCTAGAACATGGTGGAGCCCAAGTTTCATCCAGATCCTGGCCAAAGCCCATCCTCTCCAACCCAACTCTCCCCTGGTCAGGGAGATTGCTCCCCAGGCAACCCTTCCACCTCATATGTCCTGCTCATCTTCCTCTTGAAGGAGAAATGACCTTCCCAGAGGCAGCTTCAGAGCAGGCTTGGGGGCAACATTGGGGAATAGCCACAATGAAGCCTAAGAACAGAAGGAAGAAGTGAGCTGAGGGAAAGTGTGGCCAGATGTATGTGGGTCCCCTTGACCCCAGGTCCTGAGCTGTTGCCTTTTCTGTGGGGCTCAGGGTGCAGCAGGGGGTTGAGGGCAAGGAAGGCTACAGGTGCCCTAACCCAGGAGTAGCTGACAGGGCCCCTAACCTGTCTGAGCAGCCCCAGCGTCTCTGCTGGGCAGGAGTGGGGCCAGGGCACGTGGTCATTGAGCTTCTTGGGGTGTCAGGTACTGGCACAGCACTTTGCAGAGGTGGCGTCCACACAAATGACAGGAACTGTGCAGCTAGCACATGCTGCATGCTTCCTGCAGTCCATGGGGAAGGCATATTTGCCATCCTCCTTTTACACAACAAGCCAGGCAATAAGACTTTGGGTGGCAGGAGGGGCACCAGGGAAAAACCTGAGCAGGTACACAGCCAGGGGCACCAGCAGGAGCTATGAGCTGCTCTGTGGCAGCCACGCATCCAGGAAGGAGGCCATCTTCAGCTATAGTGAAGCTGTCGCCAGCTCTCCCCTAGACTGAGCTTCAGCAGTTTTGCTGGCTCAGCGGCCCCTCCTCCCAGGATCCTCCTCAGAGGCCTGACTTCGGGGAGGACTGCCTGAGTCCCACGCCTCTGCATCCTCATCCCCTACCAGAGTGGCTGCCTGCCCTGCTGTCCTCATCCTTAGGCTTGGGGGACCCCAGGCAGGTGCACATCTCTGTTCCCATGTGGACCTTCCCATCAACCTGGGCTGCAGGCAGAACTGCTGCCCCATTTTACAGAGGAAGCAGCTGAGGAACTGTCCAAGGTCACTGGCTAGCAGTGTCTGACCTGGGGCTTCTGGACCCTTTCTGGGCTCTGCCTCACCTAGTAGGGGAAGGCTCTGGCTCTCCTCCTGCTACATGTTACCCTGTAGGGTTAGGAATCTGTGGGTCCTTGAGCAGTAGCCCACCTGGAACCCAGGTACCCCTTCTAGACCACACAAGAATGTACCATATACTTGGGGCTCTGGAATTCCCTGACCCAAAGGCCTCAAGCCCACTCCCAGAATCTGTACAGCCCTCTTCCTCAGTCTGTCCTCCTGAAGGTGGGCCACATAACAGGGTGCTCAGGAATGCCTGTTTGTGGAGTGTGGGTGGCACTGGAGCTGGGTAGAGACAGGAGTGGGCTGCAGGCAGGGACCAGTTCATGACCCAGAAGGAATCCAAGAATTCTGAATTCAAATTTAGATGAAGGTATATTTGTCAAGGTAGGAGAACAGAATATATTTTATTTAACATGTTTCTAGTGTGAGTTAAAATATTTAAATATTCCGATATTCTGTGAGGGGGCCTGTGTTTGTTTTTGCCCCAGGCTCTGCAAATGTCAAGCATACGGGTTTACCTTAACAAGCCCAAAACACAACAGTAAAAGTAATGATGATAGCTGTCTTCTAATCTGTATGTTGTACTTTTTTTTTTTTTTG